AATTATTCGCCCAAGGCTGACGTTACAAAATCAGACTTGCTTTTAGATTCCACGGTGAAAACAATGCTCCATCCCCCATCAATTTTTCATATTCCTTGCCGTTTAGTCAAAGTAATTCCACGACTTTTTAAGTCGGGATAATCATTGCCTATATGTTAACATTCCCAAGCTAAAAATTCTTGATAGCGCGAATTTTGTTTTAAGCTTCCATGAAGTGTTTTTTTAGACACTTGTACAGTGCAATACAAGTGGTGTCGTGCTTGCAACCGTGTCATGTTGAACGCTATCTTTTGTCTGAGCTAATCCATTTTTAGGAGAACTCGTCGACAGAGCATGTTACCTGTGCCGCGTGTAGAGTGAAAATACACACGGCAGATATAAAATAGTGATTGCACAACCGATTGCTCAAGGCTGGTTGCTAATAGCACCTTTATTGTCAGATTATATTGTTCTGCAGCGTTCAGATTATATTGTCAGATTGTATAGTTTTGAGCGAAATCCGAAAGAACAGCCGAATGTAAAGGAATTATCAAAAAATTTCGGTCTTGAGCAATCGACTGTCAATCTCAGACATGTCCGGCGTTTTATATTATTGGAATTTAGTCATGTGTTATCTCTGCCGTGTGTGAAGTGAATTTTCACTTTACACGCGGCACTGTGGACATGTTCTCGTCGACTCCTTGATATGAGGGAGGTTCTCCCGGACATGGGATTGGCTCATACGAAAAGCACCGTGCAACTGAGGAGGCTGCGAAGCGAAAAACATGTATTGTACTGTATAAATGAGTATGGACCTCAAAAAAGGCTCTAAAAATGCACATTGTCAGATTAAATTGTTTGGAGCGAGCTCTGAAAAAACAGTCGGATATGAGGGCATTATCAGAAATTCGGTAAGTAAGGTAAATTTTTATTTTTCCTAGATGGATTTATATTTAATATCGACATCGAACAATTATTCACTGTTTTCTTGATGAACAAAACATGTGATTTCCATCATACCACTGATTTCTATGAGCTGACGTTTGCTAGCCCTACCGAGGCCAGGTGCCAACTAAAAATAATTTCCTGTCGGTTTCGCCTTCTTCAGAGCCTGGAAAGATGAGGATATGAAACCCAATCAACTAAGCACCTTCCTTATAGCGGTTATCGCGCCAATATGTCCTGTTTTGTTCATCTACGTTGGTTTCTATGCACATAATTACATGTCTCATGTAGTAGCTGATAATAACCATAGGCAGTCCGCATAAGCACTGAGTCATACCATCGGGCTCATGTTCTTTTGGCTCGCCGCTGAGCCTCACTGTACTTGTGAACTATTCACAGGTTAACTCGTGCAGAATGATTGAGAAAGTACTATGCGAGAGCAAAACAGTGCCATTTGCTCATTCTTTGGATATGTCGCTTTGTCCACCTGCTCGACTCCCTCGCTCATCTTCGGTTCGATTAGCATAAATCAAAATAATGTCAATAAATCCCAAACTCGTCCTCAAACCCATGCACTAGTGTTGTCTCATTGCATGTCATATTGAGCATTCCAATTATTGTGATATTGTTTGTTATTATGATGTCATAGTCATAATTACTATTTTAGCTAACGTGTCATGTGATCTGCGAGCGGGGGCGATCCCATAAGGGGCGTGGATCTGAATAAAAACACTCGGAATAAACAGTATTATTTGTTTGTTATAGTTTTGTTCGATACGACGATTTAGATCGTGGGATTCATCCGAACAATTCAATTCGATTTTTGGATAAATATTCTTAGACCTGCGTGGCAATGAAAAAATCAACACAATCGGTTCATCAGAGGTCACATACACGCACTCAGTCGCAACCGTCATCACATTTTAACTATTCTCGTACAATCATCACTAAAGCTGGACTATTCCTGTACTTCACCACTGTGTCCATTATAGAGCGGTGAAATGACCAAACTATATCTGAATACGTGCCGCCACTAGGACTGCCATATTCTGGTGCATTGGCCAAACTTCGGTCGGCCATGCATCGTATTCCTGATGTAATGGCTAGATTGTCATCCAAATGCTACAGCCGAACGAGGCATTTGACCACAAGAGCAGAGGCGAGGCAATGAACAAGTCCTCGCCACTGTACCAACCGTAGCAGCCGAACGCCGCATCAGCCACACCAGCCGAACGAGGACGCACCGCAACCAACTGATCGGCTGAGCGAGATTAATGTCATTACCCTATGACATCATTTCTTTCAGTTATCTTCACTTTTTTGTTAAACATGCGAAAACAAGCGGGATTCTTTTCTGTTACTCAGAAGTAAAAGAAGAAATGACTCGTTTCGCTGGAGAAGAAATTTTCTTATAATTTTTAACAAGTCGGTCACCGCAATGCTCTATTTCAACCTTTCAAGAACAAAGCCTTTCTCCCGTTTTTCCTGAGTAATTTCAGCCATCATCTAAAAGCTCAAATCTCGAAAATTTCAACGCTGTACTTGCTTTTCTATTGGGGCTTTATATTATGCTCTGGCAGCGAAATTAAGATTGGGTTTTACGTTCAACGCATATCATTACGTTTATCTTTGTTATTTATCTAGACTTTTTTTTTCTTTGTTTCGTACAAAACTCTCAGGCTTATACTTTTAGATTTCTAGAAGAAACTTTGTTTGATCATTCTAGGAGTCGATAGTTTCATTTCCAGCCCAAACTGTGAAATAAACCTGCCACTGTGCCTCAGCCTAAGCAGCCTAAGCAGCCTCAACCTAGAGTGCGAAGAGTTATCTCGTCGCTTTTCCAGCTCTCTTTGAAGACCTTTTAGAAACAGACTTGGTTATAGAATCCTTTGATGCATGCTGTCAACTGGCTATCAAAGTCTGTTGAAAGGCCATCCACAAACTCGAGTCTCCTCGGTACTGTATGTTGCAATTTTTGCGAATACCATCCACACAACTTTGTTACATCCTAGTCAAGCAAAAATTGTGCGCCGAGTGAAACTCAGTTTAATTTCCGTTGCTACAACCTATTGAGAGCTTTTCAGGAAATAAGGACAATATTGGAATTGCCCACGGTTTGAGCTATCCATCGATTGTTGAAAGTTTAGGGGGTAAGCTTTGTCCAACAACAAAAAAAAATGCTAAAACGGGCTAAGTGTGGAACTCAATTATATTTTCGCTGTTACGTCACAATAGAAGCGCCTACCAAGAATTTGAGTGCAATAAAAAATTGTGAAATTCAAGTTAACGTTTATCTCTCCGCAGTCCGACGAATCAGTCCCAGACTTGCTGGACGATAGCAGCGTTGACTTGGCACATTGGTAAACCCAGCGAGTCCATTGTAAGGTCAGATGTGCAAATAGTTACCTCCAGCGATTCCTGATGAAGTCGAATTCGTGGTGGATTTCCCAGAGATTGATCAACTCGCAAAACCTTTCGAAGCTTCATATTGGCTCGTTTGACTGACTTACTGTGAAGTTCTTATTTAATCTTATGTTTCTTATTCATCATTTTCTGAGCATTTCGAATATGCTGGTAGGTCTGAGGTATGTCAGAGACTCAAAGACTGTGTTATTCTCAAATGTCGCGCGATACTCTTCGATTTAAGTCTCCCTGAAACTTGAGGTTTAGCTCTTCTGGATCTCCACTGCACACACTCACCGTACTCTTCGAGTTGGAGAGAGAATTTCCCGGGCAAGTTCTATCCATTTGCCCACCCTGCTGCCAACGAGCTGGGAGACTTGGTTGGCCCTCTCGGGCGAATTTCGCTAAGCCATCAAGTTTAGCCATATTAGTTGCTAGCCAGGACATGTAACTTATTTCTTCTAGGTAGTTTGTTGCAACTCGTCCTCCTGTGCTGAGCGCTGCACAAGTAGCACGAAATCTTGAGCGCAGAATTGAGTAACTACGATCTTCAGCTGTGCCTGCGAAGATAGTGGAACTAACAGCTTTCACTAGCTCCCGTGATTCAGGTACATTTCCTTGTTTGATTTTCATAAGGAGGTACAAAGCCACCACACACTGGAGTAGACCAATTCCAAAGACGGGTAATCTAGAGTAAAGTGCCCTGGTTAGTCACTACTAATTCCTCGATTTGTTTTAATTGCGTTTCTGTTCACATTTATTACTCAAAAGTGCGAAATGTTCTTGATAGATTCAATTGAGTTCGTCGTCCTCCCTCATTTGGGAATGCATGAGCACAGAGCGGAACAGGCTCAATAGGAAGCTACAGTAATATGTTTGAAGGCCGAACTAATGATGAGTAAGGTAAGGTAAGGTGGTGCTCTTTGCTCATTTCGTTATGAAAAAGTTTTCTGTTGTATCCGGATCTTTCCATCAGGACCAACTGCCGCAAATACTGAAAACTGGCAGTCGTCCACACTAATGGAGTCTACAAAATGTTCAAATAGCCCTAGTCCTAGATCAGCAAGAATTCTTTTATTGAGAGCTGTTCAATAACAGTGTTTTGGTGACAACTAATATTCGAAATTTTTAGTATTTTACTGCATCTTTCGCAGTGTTATGATCATTCATGTATTCCTAAAAGATTGAGTGGTGGGCAAAAACACGGCCTCGGGCGGGAATCCAACCTGCGTTCCATCCTATGTGGGGACGCGTGCTCTACCACTACACCACTACTGGGTTCATAAAGCGAAATGGCATACCCGACCAAATTTGTTGAAAGTTGGTGGCTGATAGCTAACATAGAGGATGTTAAAGAATGAGTGGTGCGCAAATGTGCCTCGGTGGTGTAGTGGTGGAGCACGCGTCCCCGGATAGGATGCAACTCGCAGTTCGATTCTCGCCTGAGGCCGTGTTTTTGCCACCACTCAATTCTTCTAGGGGCATATGAGTGTTTTGGTGTTTTAGTTATGCAATCAAGGATGATGACGGATAAGCAAACTTTTGGGCCCAGGTGGGAGTTGTAACAACGTTTCACCCATGCCGATGGCGCCTGCTACCAGTACACCGAGACCACCTCTCCGCTACTACTTTTCTGATATTCAATGCCGATATGTACCTACTAACGCATGTGACGCAGTGGTAAGAGGTACTCTGTGTCGCACACAACGTCGATAGTCAGATCGCGCGCTTGTAACTCACTAAGCCATCCATCCATTCGGAGTCAGTAAATTAGTACCAGACTGACCCCAAAATTGTTTAGGAGCATTGACAGCACTGACGTGATACAGCGGTAGGCCACCGCGAGTCTTTGTAAAGGGCAGATATTCATTCAACATCTCAAACAAAGTTAAATATTGAAAATGAACACATGGCGTGTCCCCCTGGGATTAATCAACTCCGAGAGCTTCATTCTTTATTCCTTCATGTGCCTACCAGACTAAACGCATCAACTTCGTTGCTAACAGCTTCGACGCCTCATGCCGAATAAAGAGTGGTAGCAGCTCCGCCTAGGGTTGCGAAGGCTTCGCATTACATCAGTATCTGCGAATAAATAATAATGCACTGTTTTACTTCGTGTCGACAAGTCGGCTTAAAATCGATAGGCCATCAGAATGCTGACGTCTCTTTGGCACAGCAGATCCATGTCCGATGGGTGGAGAGACGACCATCGGGCCGACGGGCATTCACCATCGTGCGGCTCCGCCGTCGTGTCATGACTTCTGTTGTCGTTGTGCATGACTGTCTTCCGCTCTAACGATTGTTCTCATTAGACATTGATTCTTCAGAATAGTCTCTGGTTCTTCCAACTCTTCATCGCATATCGACTGTCTAGTTGCTACATTAGGTGGGATCTATTGCATCATGATCGTACATGTCCCTCACATATCGTTCGCTTATCGCATTGCTGCCATCAATCACATTTCTCAAGTTGCATTGTATGAAATGCATCACTGTTCTATGCGACTCTGGTTAGATGGAGGGATGCATTGTTCATTACTATAGTCTTTGCTTTTTCCAACTGTACTGGCTGACTGCCAAGTTGATTCATTGTCTAATTATCGTAGTACATATTCCTCACTCATAGCTCATCGCTTTCTACTATCGCTCACATTTGTAACGCTCATCGTAGAAACCTTGTTTCGGCTACAATAGCAATCTTATTGTTGTAATCAATCCATAAAACCACTGAACCACTATCTCGTATCAATCTCATCACTGTCAACAACTACGTGAACCCACTGAACCACCACTTTATCTTGATCACAGTTTCTCACAACTATCGTTCGTTCATGTCGCATATTACCGTATTCGCCGTTATTGCTGCTATTGGTTGTCGTGTTAACAGTATTGTAATGTAGCTGAAGGTCCAATTACCCAAGTTTGTGGCTAGAACGCGAACATCAACATCAAGCCGACCAGTAACTGATTTCCAACTTCTTCGCGACAATTTGCCCAATTTCTATTTAGTTTTTCGTTTGTTAAATTTATGCCAGAAATAAGAATAATACTACTTTCAGTCACTTTCGGTACGCTACTTCAACCCGTTGATCTTATATTTTGTTTTCTTTCTTTTCAGAGTTCATTGGGAACTTTACAAGAGACAATAGCTCTCAAGGATATCATTCAAGCCGCACTGGATGGAGAAAGAAAGACATTTAGGGTCAATTATTAATTTCTCGTTTTTGAGCTGAAAATGATAATTGTTAAGCTATTCACGAAAGAGAAAGAGAGTGCAAAAACAGTCTCCTTCAAGATTTTGATTCCTTAGATATTGAGAAGGTTTATATTGTAGCTCAATTTGAAAATATCGTCCTACTAAGCTTGGAAGACGTTTTTCTGCCTTCCCTTCTTTTTATCATTAGACTTCTTTGAGAACTATAGTAATCAGATAGATATATTGATCTCTTAGTGTACTGCTATCTGTGCTAATACTGCTACTACATTTATCAACCTCGCATCGACTGAAAAAAGCTTTTGATACATACATATCTTCATTTAATGCTGAGGTTTGTATGCATGCCTATTAATACTACCCTCACTTGCCTACATGTATATTGATCTCCTAGAATGTACATAAAGTACATCATAAATTATGCTATTTACATTGACTTTCACTTGCAGTGATTAAAATAATCAATATATCTGAAACACTGGAAGCATGGAATGGATTTCATACATATATAAACAAAATAACATAAATGAGGGGTCCCGTGGCCGAGTGGTTGTGATGATCGTCGCAGCGCGCGTGGAGCCGAGTCCCACCCTCCAACACTCTTCGGTAGTCAGCAAAGAACGCCCAATGGAACACAACTAGCCAGGCTGTCCTCGAGATTGCAAGGAGATCGCTCGATTACTATTCTACACCCGCTCAAAAAAAAGAGAAAAGGAATTCATGCTAAAAGTACTGGGATCCACATAGTGAAAAAGAAGCACTGTGACAACGGATCAATAGAGTGTCTAAAACGCGCTAAGAAATTTTTTTTTCTAAAACAAGCATACCATCAAAATCCTCGAGATTTAAACTAATGATCAGTACTTGAAAACAATAGCTTGATGCAGTAGTGTGAAATTTATTCAGATACCACTGCGAGGCGTGCGAGCAGCATGTGAAATGCAATCTTAATTACAGTGTTGCAGTGCAGTAAAAAATTTTTTAGAAAACTGAAAACACTATCGAATCTTTAGAAAATTGTGCCTGCACCTATGTAGGTCTCTGTATAGTTTTTCTGCCACTGGTTAAATATCGCTAGCCACGTTAAATACGCTGGATTACGATTAAACTGCAGTTTTTTCTTCTCTCCACCAACTTATTGATGTCAAGTTAGCTACGCAAATCAAGGATTTCGGACGGAGCAGCACGCTGAGCAAGCGGTTCGACAGAAATTTCGTCGCAAGATCCACATTTGAATCATGTTCGCTGTCAAAAAAAATTTGTCAAGAATACTCTTTGCTTCTAGTTCTGGCATTGAATTGAATGCAAATCTATGAGCGTTATTCGACCTACAAGTGGCACCGTTCTACGTGAAAACTTTGTTATTTGCTAAAGAAACAGCACCACAAAAGTGCAGTTTTTCCAAGGACCTAATACCATACTCAGTAAATGAGATTTTGTGAAGCGGCACCATACCACCAAAGCAATACATTAGATTGGGATGAAATTCGCATGCGTAATGATGGTAAATGTAAAATAGCCGAGTGGATAGCGATGCCTGGCACACCTCAATTAAGGGTTGATTCCCACTCTCAGCCCTTTTCAACATTCAATAACCACCTTCCACAGAACGCCCTACGTTGTCCATCATCGAAATTGCAAGAAGAGTTGCTGAACTAAAATATTCCCACTGCGTTATGAAGAAGACAAATCCACAGTCAAGCGATAATTGCGAGGAAACGAATCGATTGCTAGAAGCATTAGGAGCGGTACATGAGTGGAAAACTTGAAAAAAATTGTTACAGGTCAAGTAAACCGATAAAGTGAATGGTAGAGAATTTCTGTTGACCTTCGCTATGCTGACGACATCGTCATCTTTTTAAGTGCCACCAAAGAAGCAAAGACAATACCAAATGAGTTCAACGAAGCGGGAAAAATCACAGTACGCATAGATTGGTTAGAAGGTGCCAGTTCCTGAGAAACCTGGTTTTCAAATATGAATAAATCGAAATAAATGATTAACTGATCACAGATGCCACCACGTAGATGTAACTAAGGCGTTTATTGAGTGGTCAACAACACGATGAAGGAGTTAGACAGAAGGAAAAATGCAAGATTAGACCGTTTTCAACCTTTTTAAGAAAGTCACCGACCAACTAAAGGATCTCAAAACTTCCGCTCACCTTGCGATTTAACACTTTTCTCGGTGTTCTATTGTGCAGCAGAACCGTGGACTAGTACTTCATCCACCTCAAAAATGCTGTGTAAAACTCACACAGCTATAGTGCGATCTCTCCTGAACCTAAATTGATGCTCACAACATCTAGCCGGTTTTAGCATCCCAAATTTTCAAAACCTATCCGCTTTCCAGGATCCTGAAAAATTATAGCGATAGAGAAGCAGATGAGCTGGTTATATACTAAGAAAAACAGACGACAGATGAGCGAGGAATTTGTGGAGTAGAGTTTACGAGCATGCACATGTTCCTAAGGACATTCACATACACGTTGATCAGAGCTGATTGTTAATAAAATCAGTTAGCTGTAATGGCAGCTTTCGATGTTCTACACATTACTTCATGGGAATCGTAACTGTCAACATGCTCGAATCATGCATTACCATAAAACGACTATCATGAAACAAAGTAGTAGATAGAAAATGTGCTGTAGTCGCATGAATCGTATAGAACGGGTCGGGTAATTATTAAAGCAGAAAAAAACAGGAATTTCTACGGGCGGCCACATGTTGAGCTTCATTTCTGTCTACACAATTCGACTTCAGCAGTGGGATACGACGCCAAAGCGAACTGCGGAAGTGCGCAGATACGACTGGAATTAAAGATCTGAATTGGCTTCGACACCGCTGACTATCCTTCCCTAAGGACTCACCCAGAACACCATGCAAGCCTTCGTTCTACCTTTCTACCCGCCACGTTATTTTATTGGTCTTCAACAACAAAATCTTCTTCTGCAAATGATCTTGAAGAGCACGATGGTCTAAAAGCGCGGTGTCTGGACTATCCTTCACCTGCTTTATCAAGTGATCAAAAACTTTCCATTTCAATGATGGTCACGGCACACTAAATTGTTCTAGCGATGTGCTAGAAAACGAATTAGTAAAAAGCGAATTTCCTTCCATTACTGGAGAGCGTTCATATGCATCCGATGTTGAACATCAAATATCACTATACGCGGTATATATAAGACTTTTAATCGCCTCATAATTTTTCATTAGCTGTTCGAAAGAATCTTTCCTCC